GTCATGCCGTTTTGCTATTAAGTCAGAAATCCTACGTGATTTCCTATCGGTCATGCTCTGGAGTTTTTGAAAATCTTCCGAAGACAGTATCTTGGCCAGATTACGCTAGAGCTTTGACTTAATATCTATAAACTTAAACAACTTATAACTTTCAGTATCATATGTCTCTGAATAGAAGCCTGATGGAGATACTCCTTAACCTTATTCGAGTGGTATAGTCTCCTAAGCTCACAGAACTTAGGAGTGATACCATAACATTTATAACAGTTTAAAAAAGTAAGATGGGAGGATTGACTTACAATTTTCTTCTTTGTCCGGCTGTATTCAGTGCATTGTTTGGCAATTTTCCTACTTCTTTGCATGCAATAATTACAGAGTTAAAATCAATTTTGAATGCGATTTATAAAGATCGACTTTACTTCTGTTCTTTGTTTATTATTCTGCAAATATTGACCACAATGCTATTAATGATAACTATACAAATTGCAGCTTAATATAGTTTATAGAAGTGGGTTACCTTGTTGTCGCAACTTATTCTTGCTGTCATGCCGACTTATTAGAACGCATCTAGTCCGAAGTCGTCTGCCATAGTGGTTTTAATGAGTCTCAGCATCATACAGTGTACTCTTGGGAAAGCAAGTCTATGTGAAATTTAATGAAACGTCAGCTTGACTCATATCATTGTGGGAAAATTCTTCTACCAGTCCTTTATCACCTTAACCGAAATTGCGTGAATGCATCTCATATTCCTGATTTACTGGTAGTCTCGAAACAATACTTAAATGTTTACTTAGTGTTTGTTTAGCTTGAAAATAATAAGGCTTTGTAATTATTTCTTCCTTTATTCTCCTTTTTGTCAATTTTTACATTTGTTTTTTTACCTGGCTGTCATTAGCCTGAGCTTGCAAACTCCATCGTTGCAAAAGATCAACTCGACTCTTATCAATGATTCCACTAACCCTCCAACGACTGGCGTCGTTAGGTCGGCAGTGAATGAGACCATTGATAAATGGCCCCTTAATCGAGCCGAACGAGCCCTTGACGCCCGTGACTCGAAGGACCGGGATATCCGGCTCCGTCTGCTCCTTGAGTTCATCAAAGTCTTCTTTTACTTGTCGGTGCCTGTGCTTGCCGT